ACATAGTTTACAAAGAAAATATTCTATATACTAGTTTGATAAGTAGTGTCTGGGGTCTAAAAAGCTTGTGATTGGCCATCTAATATACTCCACTGCTCTCACCCCCTGTGGAGCAAGAGAGAAAGAAAAACCAAAGGCACAAGGTAAAGATTAGTCCAAAGGACTAATGGGCCACAAGTACCACAGCTCCACCTGACTGAGTCCAGCACAACTAAATGGCGCCCAGATGCCACCAGGGACTGCTCTGACAAGGATCACGAAAAAGGGTCCTGGACAGAGCCGAAGAAAAACTGAGAACAAAATTCTAACACAAACATATATATATATTAAAAAAAAAAAAAAGACCAGATTTACTGGTCTGATAGAGACTAGAGAAACTCAGAGAGTAAGACTTGCCGACACCATTTTATCTCAGTTTTGAAGTCACTTCTGAGATTCACCTTCAGCCAAAGATTAGACAGACTGATAAAACAAAAAGTGTCTAAATGGACACACCAGGCCAGGAAAGAGGACGAGAAGGCAGCAGGGTACAGGAAAGTTGGTAACCAGGATCCCAAGTTCAAGAAGGGGAGAATGTTGACATGTCATGAGGGTCGCAACCAATGTCACAAAATAATACGTGTATTTATTGTTTAATGATAGATTAATTTGCTCTGTATATCTTTATCTAAAATTACAATTTAAAAAAAAGAGATATAAATTCAAAGTAGTGAGCACTCTATTCACTTAAGATAATTATCTTTAGTTAAGTCACAGACTTGGTATACAATTAGCTCCTTTTGTATCATTTTATTTTCAATTTTTAATTGTTTTATTGGAAATATTTACATGGTTCCAAATCTAAACCTACAAAGCAACTATATTAAAAAAAAAAAAAAAAACTCGGATTTTTTTATTTCCTAAACTTTTTGCCTCCATCTCATTATATGTAACCATTTTTAAGAATTTTTACTCTATTCCTTCATTACATTTTGTCATATATACATGTACATATATATTATTTTTCTGCCTGTTATTAATGTGCTCACCTGCTATTTTCACACAATATCATATCTTGGAGATCATTACACAGCATTATATTAAGAAGTTGAAATGTTCCTCATTCTCTTTTACAACTATATTTAATTTTTAAGTGTGGGTGTACCTTATTAATTAAACTGGTATTCTATTAATGAACATCACAGTTATTTTCCATCTGTTCATAGACTAAGTGTTGCTACAATAAATGGTATGTGCATACATCTTTTCATTGTTTTGCTAGTGTATCCTTGAGACAGATTCCTGAAAGAGCATGTAATTTTACTAAATATTGCTAAATTCTTCCCTAAAAATGTTGTACAATTTTTTTGTTTCTACCTGGTATGTATGAGAGTATCTAATAGCCAAGAGTTTAGCCAACAGAGTAGGTTATCAATCTAGAAAAATGTTATTGGCAAGCAGTCACTAACTGCAACCAAAGATTTTCCTATGAATTGCATAACTGAAAGAAAAATCAACTCTATATAAAAGAGATAAGAACACTTAACGAGACAAAAAATAACAAAGAGAAGAAAACTCAAGTGGCCATACTCAGAATATATTAGACAGAAAAATAAACTTGTTATAGAAATAATAACAATTATTCACAGAAATGAAGCATGTAGAGGACAAGCTGGAGAAAAATTAGCAGAAATAAAAAAGTGTTTAAACTGAATTAGAGAGATAATTAAAACTAAGTGAAGTAGAAAACAGACACTCGACATATGTGTAATTGGTGAGTTTAAAGAAAAAAATGAATGTATAGAATAGGAAAAATATATGATACAAAAAAATTACAGAATATAGACCATGTCTCATGAAAAACTGGTATCAACTTGTCAACACCAACATGTGTCCCAAAACCAAAAAGTCCAAATCCCTTGCTGTTGAGTTGATTCTGACTGATTCTATAGGAAATTAGAACTGCCCCATAGGGTTTCTAAGGGTGGATGGTGGATTCTAACTGCTGACCTTTTGGTTAGCAGCCAAACTCTTACCACTGTACCACCAGAGCTCCAGATGTGTCTCAGGAAATTTTATCTGATTCAAAGAAAAAGATCCTTCAGGTATTGAGACAAAAAGTTCCACCTAAGGAAGTATATATTTCACTGGACTCCAAATGCTACATAGCAGCATACAATGCTAAATGAGAGTTTAACAATGCATATGAACTCATGGAAGAAAATTGACAATCAAGAAGTACGTACCTAGCCATTCAGATATCACGCAAGTATTAAAATTCACAGAATATAATTATTATAAGTCCTTCTTTAATAATCTATTTTGACAAAGGCATTGGGAGAGAAAAAATTATCTACTTAACTACAACACTAAGCCTAAAACAACCTAGAGGTTATGGTTATCGAATAGAATGAAATGTTACAAAATATGAAAGTTAGAGACATATACTGATCAAATCAGGAAAATGCAGAACAGAATTTCAAATTCTTATGGAATATAGAATTTCTGGCTTCATGGAGGCTGGATGAACTCTTGAAATGTTTCCCTGAGATAATCCTTAAACCTCAAACCAAAAATATCCTGTGAAGTCTTCTTAAAACCAAATAATAGTTTAGCTTAACTAGTAAAGTATATCTGCCTTGAGCATTATGCTCTTTCAAGATCTATGTACATGGGATCAAATCGACACAAGAAACTCGAAAGATTAGATAGGAAGATTAGTGGATTTAAGCTAATGGAGGAGGAGTAGATCAGAAAAGGAGAGTGACAGTGGTTGCACAATTCAGAGAATGGAATCAATGTCACTGAATTGCAAACGTTAAAACAATTGAAACGGAGTATGTTTGGCTGTGTAGACTCTCAACCACAACAAAATACATAAAATAAATTACAAACAAAATAGAAACAAATGGCTATACTCTCACTAACAAAAACAGAGAAGTAAAGGAGCAAAGGTGGAAAGTTATAGTGCAAAGAGAAGGACTTTATTTTTTATAAATCATAAAGAGAAGTACCAGGAATAATAATGTTTTGCTGTTGTTGTTAGGTGCCCTCGAGTTGGTTCCGACTTCTAGTGACCCCACATACTAGAGAACTAAACACTACCTGGTCCTGCATCATCCTCATGATCATTATTATCCTTGAGCCCACTTTTGCAGCCACTGTGTCAATCCATCTCACTGAGGGTCTCCCTCTTTTTCACTGACCCTCTACTAAGCATGATGTCCTTCTCCAGGGACTGGTCCCTCCTGATATCATGTCCAAGGTACCTGGGACAAAGTCTCCCCATCCTCGCTTCTAAAGTGCCTTCTGGCTCTATATCTTCCAAGACAGATTTGATTGTTCTTCTGGCTGTCCATGCTATATTCAATATTCTTCACCAACACTGTATTTCAAAGGCATCAATTCTTCTTCGCTCTTCCTTATTCATTGGCCAGCCTTCACAAGCATATTAGGCAATGGAAAACACCACAGCTTTTGTCAGACACACCTTAGTCCTTAAGTTACATCTTTGCTTTTTAATACTTTAAAGAAGTCTTCTGCAGCAGATTTGCAGCATGCAATATGTCCTTTGATTTCTTAACTGCTGCTTCCATGGGAGATCATTGTGCATCTTTGTAAAATGAAATCCTTGACAACTTTTATGTTTTCTCTGTTTATCATGATGTTGCTTATTTGCCTAGTTATGGGGATTTTTGTTTTCTTTATGTTGAGGTGTAACCCATACTGAAGGCTGCAGTCTTTGACCTTCATCAGCAAAATGCTCCAAGTCCTCTTTGCTTTCGGTAAACAAGCTTATGTCTTCTGTAGGTTGTTAATGAGTCTTCATCCATGTAACCAGTCAAAATTGAGTTTATTGAAATAGCTCATTTTGGAAACATATAAATTCATTAAGCAGTTATAAAACAAAATTAAATTTTATGTACTAATTTTAAAAATAATAAAATGAAACAAATAGACATAAATGGCATCTGATTAGCAAATAACCACACAGAGAGGAACGATTCTGAGGGGCTGAAAAACCAGTAATTTAACTGTATATCTTAAGTAGAGTCAAACTTATGGACAAATAGGATACAAATAAATTTTTAAAAATATTTTAGTCATTACGTTGTTGGTGGCAGTGTTGGTATTATTATTCTGAGACTCCTGCTGTGTAATATAAGGTAAAGGAAATGAGTGTGTAGTTTTTTAAATCTATTATCCTTAATGTCCCTTTAAAATCTGGTAAATAAAGAAAATGAGTTAACCATTTATACTGTCTTCCCAATACAAATTGTGTTACCGTGTAACCAAATAAGAGATGATGGGAATTTATTTATACATATATTCCAGCTAATAAATGAAGAATGCAAAAATGTTACTATAATTTTGCAAGCCTCAATATGAATTAATACATCCAAGCAGTGAGCATCAACAATTTCTACCATAATAAGAATAATAAAAAAAAAAACTTCAGGCATTTCATAACTCTACATGAAAGAAATTACCATTATGAAGTAGACTTGCTCCCCTGCTTCTACAAAAAAAAAAGAAAAAAACTGAATTTGATCAATCCAAAGTTCTAGCAATGAATTTATAGAAAATTTTTGTAACCTCAAAAGCAAACAAATAAAGATAATAAATGAAAATATCTCTTCAAAATTAAATGGTACAGCAAAGAATGGCATGTTAATTCAGTGAAATGTCCAGAAACCAAAAAACCAAAGTCGTTATTATCAGTCAATTCTGACTCAGGGTGAGCCCATCAGTGTCAGAGTAGAACTGTGCTCCATAGAGTTTTCAAGGCTGTGACCTTTCAGAAGCAGATCACCAGATATTTCTTCTGAGGTGCCTCTAGCTGAGTTCAAACCACCAACTTTCATGTTAGTAGTTCAACACTTAACCATTTGCACCAGCCAGGGACTGAAAACCTTCCCTATCTCTTCTGTAACTCCCAGACTTCTGCAGCACCCTCTTCAGGACCTCATGTTCACACCATCCCCCACCTGTCGTCACCTGCCCTTGTCATTATTTTTTACCTGTAGCCAGAAACGTGAACCATTTTTGCTAAAATGGTCCAACTTTTGCCAGAACCAGCCCTCAGTAGGGTGCTTCTCTTTGCTCGATGAGGCACCGCGAGTCCGTCTCCAGAGAAAACTCTGAGCATAGGAACAGAAGAGCAGCAGCAGCAGCCACCCAAGAGCTTGGGCCATGGTGGTTTTGTGGGAAATAGTTTCCACAGTTTGGGCTATTTCTACTGCAATCGCCCCTACCCTGTTGCAACACTTACAGGCTTCAGCAGCGGATCTTGTGCCCTGGGGCTACATGATGTTATCTCTACCTAGAAATGTAGGTACCATCACCTCCCCCACCTCCTGAAACTATGGGGACATTCAAGTAGAAAAGTTCAAATGGGTGAGAGGAAAAGATGCCTGCAACTGGCTTTCCACCCCCCCTGTTTGGGTGGATATCCTGGCCTAGTGTTCCCCTGGACTGCAGGAACCACCAAAGGCAAGAGCCCAGGGTAAGAGTGGGAAATGTTGGAAAGCTCATCCTCTATTGAATGATTTCCTTGTCTTTGCTTCCGTGTCACCTGTAGGGTCTTCTGCTAGGTCTCCAAGACGGCACATAGAGCATGACAAGACAAAGTGAAAGTCCAGATTCCAATTGTTGTGACATTTCTGTGCGGAAACCCAAGGAGTTTCAGATTCCTGGTCCCTCTACTTCTCTCACTGTAGAACTGATGCTGCTATTACTCTCTCATCTTAATCTTCATCACCATCATCATCACCCTTTGGTCAATATCACCACTGCAATAAACATGTTCTGAGATGCCCAAACCTTACTGACCTCCTGGAGAGATAAAAGACCTACCATCGCTTCTGTGCCTTGGAATGCCTTGTAGTAGAGTTAAGAATGCAACATATGCACAGGAAAGTGAGAGAAGCGAGAAAGGCATTGGAGGAATGGCTTGGGAGGGCGTTAATTCAACACGAGTTTATGTCAGTATGGAATTGGAGGGTTTTAAATGTTGCAAGGATTTCCATAAAGGTGGTAAGTTTGGTTGGTGTCTTGAGTTCTCTATGGCATTCTTACATGCCTAGAGCCCAGGAATAATTAACATCACTGGCTTGGATGTCAGACTGCCTGAGTTTGAAGCTCTAACTCATGATCCCCTTGTGTATAACAAAACAAAACATTGCCTTTTCCTGCACCATTCTCATGATTTTTAGTACTTTTGAATTCATTGTTGCAACCACGTGTCACTCCATCTCATGGAGAGTTTCATTTATTTTCGCTGACCCTCTACCTTATCAAACTCGATGTCCTTTTCTAGCAATTGGTCTTTCCTGATGACATATACAAAGTAAGCATGGCAAAATTTCCACATCCTCCGTGGCTTCTGAGGAACATTCTACTTGTGCCTAATATTTTGTGTGTTGGCTATTATTTTAATTGTATGGAAGAGTAGTGCTCAGATTACAAGTTTCTGACCTGCTCTTTTGCCACTTAAACTTGATCTCCTAAAAATATAATTGAACATAAAGATCTCCCTACAGCTGTTTTTAATTAGGTGCTGTCAAGTCAGTTCTGACTCACAGAGCCCTATGCATAACAGAAGGAAACACTGCCCAGTTCTGTGCCATCCTCATAGTCTTTGCTATGTTTGAGCCCATTGTTGTAACCACTGTATCAGTTCATCTCATTGAGGGTCTTTCTCTTCTTCGCTGACCCCTTTATCTTACCAAGCATGACGTCCTTTTCCAGGAACTGGTCCATCCTAGTAACATGTCCAAAGTACATGAGATGAAGTATCACCATCCTTGCTTCCAAGGAGCACTCGGATAATATTTATTCCAAGACATACTAATTAGCTCTTCTGGAAATCCATGGTATATTCAATATTATTGGGCAACACCATAATTCAAAGGCATTGATTCTTCTTCAGTCTTCTTTATTCTTCTTTATTCATTGTCTAGTTTTTGAATGTATATGAGGCAACTGAAAATACCATGGCTTGGGTCAGATTCACCTCAGTCCTCAAGCTGACAGCTTTGCTCTTTCGCACTTTAAAGAGTTCTTCAGCCGCAGATTTGCCCAATGCAATACATAGTTGGATTTCTTGATTGCTGTTTCCATGTGTGTTGATTGTGGATTCTGCAGAGATTTATAAATTAAGAGCATCAATAAATTCTTTCTCCTTAAGGAAACTTGAACTTTCTATTATTTGACTTGTATTATTGAGCAGTAAATATTTTGCAGCTTTCTGGTCCTTTCTCCATATAGGCTAATAGCCTCACCAAAGCTGGAAGTAAGCATTTGAGAACTTGTCCCAACAGAGAGGTGATGTCAGCAACAGATGAGGAAACTTTTACACATGGTACATAGGAGGCCAATGGCAAAAATGATATATAATGTTGCTATTGTGTGATAATTCTCGGGCGCTAGTATTTTCCTCGGTATATAAAAGATTTATATTACTTTTCGAATTAATGTGACTTTATCTCTGTTGGCAGTAGGTTTGTATGTTTGTTTTCACTTTCAGTTGTGTGGAGTGTTGTCTTCATATGAACATTACAAAGTAGTAGCTGAGAAATTGTGTAAACCTTTTGCACAAAAGAACTACTGTTTCCTCAATAGACAAAGAAGCAAGCTACAAATAAGCAAGAGGGAAGGTAGAGGATGTGATGTGTGGAGCTAAGTGGGCGAGAGAAAGAAGAAAGAAACAGGAGTGAAAAAACAGCACAAGAAAAGAAAAAAAATGAAGGGGAAAAGAAAAAAAAAGTAAATAAAATGGTGGCAAAGTGAGACTGAGCCAGTGGTGATGGGGTAGACCTGGTTTGGCTACGTGCTGGTGGCAATCTAGCTAAGTGGTGTGGCTTGGCCAGTCAAGAAGGGGCTTGAGTAGCGTACAGGGCTAGGTGGGTGGGAGAAAGGAAAAGACAAAGGGAAAATAAGAAAAGAATGAACGAAAAGCAACAACATCAACAAAAAAATATGGTGCTGATGTAGTCAACCTTTAGGGGCGGGGTGACATGGGGTGGTGGCAAGCTGCTGTCTCTCTCACCAGGTGGCTCAGCACTTCCCCTCAGGAAGGGTCAGAGGCAGTGCAGGTCCCCGGTGGTAGGTAGAAGGAAAAGGGAGAAGGGTAAAGATAAATAAAAAAAAATAGTACTGAAGTAGCTGACCTGTGGGGCAGCCCAGACATAGGGAAGCTGTGTGCTAGTGACGTTCTAGCAAAGCAGAGGGTAAAGGCCCTTCAAGAAGAGAGGGTGGTGTATGGGGCTAGGTGAGTGGGAGAAAGGATAGGAAGGAACAAAGAGAGAGGGAAGGGAAGGAACAACGACAACAACCAAATGGTCGTGAAAGAGCCAACTAGTGACAGTGTCACAGACTCAGGGAGACCAAGTGCCAGTGGCTCTCTATTCAAGCAGTGCAGCATGGACCTTTGAGAATGGGCATGGGTGGCATAAACTGCTAGGTGAGTGGGAGAAAGGAAAAGAAGAATGGGAGAGAGAGAGAAGAAAGAGAAAAAAAAAAGATCAAAGCAAACAAACTAAAAAAAATATAGCACAGAAGGAGATAGCCCGAGGGGGCAGCGCAGACTCAGGGAAGATATGTGCCGTTGACTGTCTAGCCTAGTGATGTGTCATGGCCTTTCAAGAAGGGGCAGGGATGGCACATGGGCTATGTAGGCAGGAGACAGGAAAGGAAGGAAGGGAGAGAGAAGAAACAAACAAACAAAAATATATGGTGCTGAGGGAGCTAGCTGGTGGGTGCGGCACTGGACTGGGGAGGCCCTGTGTTGGTGTTTCTCTATCCATGCAGTTCACCAAGGCCCATCAAGAGAGGATAGGAAAGGCACACTTGGTTTTGTGGGCAGGAGACATAAAAAGAAAGTAGGGATAGAGAGAGAAGAAATAAAAAAAAACAAAACAAAATAATAATAATGATATGGTACTGAAGGAGCCAGCTGGTGGGGCAGTACTGATCTTGGAAGCTTGTGTGCCAGGGACTTTCTAGCCAAGTGGTGCAACATAGCCTATCAAGAAGGGGTGTGGACAGTACACGGGGCTAGTTGGGTGGGAGAAAGGAAAGTAAGGAAGGGAGAGAGAGAGAGAAGAAACAAACCAACAAAAAGTAAGAAAAAAAATATACAATGGTGCTAGGGGAACTGATTGTTGGAGCCAGGGTGGACCCAGGTAACAGTGAGCCGGTATCTCTCCAGCTGAGCAACTGTGGCCCATTGGCAAGCAGCAGAGGCTTTGTGCAGGGCACAAGGGTGTGGGGTGTGAAAGTGTGTTTGTCTAGTCACCAGAGGTTTTCTCCTGTTGAGAGTTCCATGAATTTACCTTCTTATACTCCCTGCCCGCAGTCCTTGGTGGCTGAGGTCCAAGATGGCGAATCTGTTCTGTTAGCTAGTAGGGAAGCTCCACTATATAGCTCTTGTCGTTCCCCGTTCTCTGTCAGTTTTTTATTCCATTCAGTGATTGATTGAGGATTTTATCACTTCATTTGTTACTTAGGGTTCCAGAACTGATACTTGTATCTGTTTTACTTAGTTTTCAAGCCTTTACTGCAGAAAGATGTCATGGTGCTTCTAGCAAGCACTATGTTGGCTCCACTTTGGGAATATCTCTAGTTTGAACTTTAGTCCTAACTGAGGATTAAATTACTTGTTTTAAGATTAAAAAAAAAAAAGGCATTGATGCTCATAAAAAAAAAAAAAAAAAAGATAGAAACTTGATATAAGAAACTTTCCTGCAGTTCCAAAAAAATAAAAAAATAAACAAGCATTAACTTTATATGGGAAGAAAAAGGTCACTAACAAAAAAAAAAAAAAAAATAAGTTCATTAAAAAGACGGGAAAGAAAGAAAAGAGCAAAATGGACGTCACAAGTAAGTCCGAAATTTGCTTTTGAACATAGAGCAGTAAAGCAAATGGAAGAAAGGAACTTAAACAGGGGAAAAGAAGATTTCAAAAGGCTTCTCAAGAAGATAGTAAAGTATAATGAAATGTGCAAACACCTGGAGTTAGAAAACCCAAAGGGAAGAACATGTTCTGCATTTCCCAAGTGGAAAGAACTGAAGAAAAAAATGTAAACCTCATATTGCAATTTTGAAGGATTCTATGGGAAAATTTCTGAACGACTCAGGAAGCAGCAAAAGAAGATGGATGGAATACACAGAGTTACTATACCAAAAAGAAAATAGAAATTCTCACCAATGGACAGATAA